TGGACCACGCATCGTCGGATTTTGTAGCTGCAGCGGACCAGGCTATGCATGGGCCGCCTGTGGTGGTACAGGCAGGGTCTTTTGGCTACGCGCGACGGCCTAGATGTTTTTGGGTGTCTGATGGCAGGCGTAGTCTGCGGGATGTCCAAGAACTTAAGCTGCCTTCACACATCAAGGTGTCATCAGGGTCCCAGGGCAGGCGCGAATTCCGGTGGCAGCATAAGAAACCTTGGCCGCCTAGTCCTCCGTGGCGTGATGGTTTCAAGCCGGGGTTCAATCCTGAGACGATTGCAGCTGGTGGATCTCAAAGGCTTGCATTGCCGGTCTTCTCACGTGCTTTCCCTCATCCGGAGGACCAGCTGCATGGCTTGGATGCCCATACGATGGCTCGCTTCCGTCAGGATAGTAGGCGCTTCCCGGCGTACACGTACAAAGCTGACTTCTTGTTGTGGAAAGGATCCCGATGGCGTCAGCCGGACTCTTGTGAGAGAGCACGCATCCTTGGCATTCCAGAGTCTGTCTTGGAGCAGGTTGAGCTGCAGCGGGATGTTGCACATCGGGAGTCCGTTAAGTGTAGCCTGTTGGGCAACAGTTTCCATGTCCCATCAGTTATGCTTGTGATGTGTCTAGCTTGCCAGCTGCTGCCCACCACGGTGGCTTGCCAACAACCTTTTTATGGGGGTCTGGAAGAGCGCCTTAGAGGTTCTGTTGCGGGCACGCCATGGCAGCCGGGTGTCTTGGACTCGTGGCCGGGGTTGAGAACCACCGCGCATGTGGATGGCATGCTGCGTGACCAATTTGCTGACCTGTTGCACACGTGGCCTCTCTTGCCAGGATCAGCTGAAGTAGACCGCGCTTGTACTCGATTGCAAATCTATTGGGTTGATACCCAGATGAGGGGCCGGTCGGCTGATCACCAGGGGCCATGTTGGGCTCAGCAGAGGGCGCGACAGGCATCGGTTTTGGGTCTCGGTCAACAGCGCGGGGGGCCTTTGTCCAAGTGGGCGTGTGAGCCACTCCTGCCGACGGGTTTGTCCAAAGATGAGCATATGTGTTTTAGTGCCAGTCTGCCCTCCCCTTTCGATACAGAAGCAGTGCTGGACGACGACGCGGCGTTTGCGCTTCGATGCATGTTTGTTTGGGGTCCATTTCTTCGCCAGTGGAGGAGACAACAGGCTCGCGCACTGCGGTGTCTCAGTAAGTGGTTGGCGCCGCTTGAAGCTGCCCTCACACATGCTATGCATCCCCAAGTTGCACGCGTTGCCTCGAAGCGGAGACCAGCCATCATAACAGCCATGGCAGCGCTTCTCCGATGGCCAGACATGACGTTGGGCAGACGATTTATCTTGGGTTTTGCTCTGCTTGGAGAAGTGGAAGCCCCTGCTATCTTCAGGCCTGTGGACGCACCGTCCCCTGACCCTTCCTCTTTAGGTTTAGGTCCCTCCCTAGGTTGTGGTGCGGTTGAGGTTGTTGATAGGCTCGTGCGCATCTTGAAGGAGGATGAGCACTCCGCTTTCTTGTCAGATTATACGCGTCAAGAGATCTCACAAGGCTTGGCATCCGGACCCTACACACGTGCCCAATTGGATGCTAAGTACGGGAAGGGCAATTGGCTTCCGATGCAGAGGTTTGCACATGTGCAGGGCTGTGGAAAAATCAGGCCGATAGACAATGGCCGCAGCTCGGGCCACAACGATCTTTGTTGGTGCGCTGAGACCATTTTTACGTCTACACCTGATGCAGTTGCAGCTTGTGCAAAGGCATTGTGGGCCATGCTGAAATTTGAAGGCGATGTATTCCCGGAGTGGGCCCACTTGGGCTTCGGTACCGACGGTATGGCATCAGCTTACCGTCAACTCCCGAATCATCCGCAAGAGAATGCCGGCCTGATTGTGGCATGGTACGACACACATACTGCCTCTCCCATGTTTGCAGAGTTGCATGCCCATCCGTTCGGACTCAGCACGGCGGTTGTCAACTTTAACCGAGTCCCAGCCCTTACCTCTGCAGTTGCTCGGCGATCGTTCGGGGCAGCCATCACGCATTACTTCGATGACTCAGGCATTCTTGACTTTTTGAGTGCAGCTGGGTCAGCCCAAGAGGCGTTGGGGATTATTTGTGATGCTTTCGGCATTTGCCTCGACAATGCAAAGCAACAACCCATGGCTGTGCAGAGGGTTTTCCTAGGGGTGCTCATTGATCTTGCCAGGTTTTCTGAGGGTGTCATGGCAATGGACCTTAAACCCGGTTTGCGTCAACAGTTGCAGTCTGAAGTTGCTGTTATTTTGGCTGCAGGTTCGTGCACCAGTGCTCAGGCCGCTAAGTTGCGAGGGCGCTTTGGTTGGGCCAGTGCTGCGACCTTTGGTAAATGTGCCCGGGGAGGGGCCCATGCCCTCATCCAGCGCCAGTATTTTGAGCAACATACTGCGATTGATCCGGTGCTTGAGCGGTCCCTCGTCTTCCTCCAGCAAGTGGCAGCTTTCACGCAGCCTCGTGCCATTCCACTTAATCGCCGAGTTTCCCCAGTGCGTGTCATCTACACGGATGCCTCGTGGGAGCCACAAGATATGACGGCACCAGGTTTAGGAGCTGTGATGTTGGGTTCCGATGAACTGCCGACTTTAGGATTAGCCGCAAGTGTACCAGAAGCTGTGTTGCAGGCATTCCTCCCGCGCGAAACGCAAATCGCGCCTCTGGAGGCGCTTGCAGTCCTTCAGGCCTTTGCCATCATGGGGGTGTGGTGTGGTGGCATGGACGTGCTCCTGTTCATTGATAACACATCCATCTGCAGTGCGCTTGTAAAGGGAGGTAGTACTGCTTCAGATTTAGCCCTTTTGGCATGCACAGCCCACCTTCTGTGGATGCACTTCCACTGCCGAGTGTACGTTGAGTACGTGCCATCAGCAGCAAACATCTCAGATGGTTTGAGCCGCGCTGGAGTCCAAGATTCGTGGTCCAAATCTCAATGTTGGAACTTGTTGTCTACGCAGTGCGTTCCATGGCACCTTTTTCAACCCGCAGGCCTGCAGCATGCGTGGAGAGAACTGTTGCATTGGGGATCCGGAGAGGGTGTTACATTGGGTGTATCTGACCTCAAGGGTCAGGTCGCCTGATCGGGCTCACCTAACCTCCAATGCAAGAGCCCTCTTCACAGATCATGCCATGCAGGCGAGAAAAAGGATGATCGAAGCCAGCACTGCTGAATGGCTCATGTGATTGCAGTGCATACAGTTTTGCGACTACTTGCAAGACTTGAATCTCGCAAGATAAGTTGAAGCAAGACTCAAGCGCTGATTGGGACCGAGATGCAAAGCCATTGCCGATTGCGTATATTCGGCATATTCCTCGGAGTTGTTGAAATGACGGTGAATCAACCGTTCCGTGGAAATACGCACCTCACCTCCCCGACAGGAACCCCTTTGGGAGCGGTGGGTGGGCAGCAAAAGAACACAAGGCTCTGCATTCGAGCATAAATGCTATCATGCAGGACCTTCACTTTTAGACATGCGTAGTCCCTTCCCAACCATCCTTCTTTACGCATGCTCTCAAAACTGTATGCACTGCAAGATCTCCGTATTCTCATGCAGAGAACTCACCGTGAGTCCTTCTGCGCAGCTGCGCGGTGTGTGTTTGCCCCACGGCCTTGCAGAAAGACACAGACACAATCGCGCAAAGCGCATGAAGATATAGCCAAGCAGAGAGAGAGAGAGAGAGAGAGGACTGCTCCCGCCTCAAACCCCGAGCAAAGCAAAGAGAGAGAGAGAGAGAGAGAGAGAGAGCAACGCGTTCGTCAAGTACAACAACATATGCAGCACAGCCGGGGAGAAGCTTCGTTGAAGTCGAGTGCTGAACAGAAGTGAGCGTGAGCGTGGCAAAAGTTTTGAGCCTAGTGCATGTGGGGGGCGGCACAACTGTTGTCTTTTTTAGCTTTGTTTTCGGCTCTGTGCTTTACCTACTTTGGTTGGTTTTACTGAGAGCTTCCCACAGTGCCTGTGCCTAATCCTTGACGGGCCACTCGCCCCAACCTTGCACCATCTGTAAACTAGACCATGTACCTAGAAAGTGTCAGCGAAGCTGCGTCCTGGTGTGAACTCTTTGTACGGGCCGACACGGCCCTTCTCGGGCAAACTCATTCCAATGGGCTGGACAAAAGCCCCTAATCCTTGCTTCTTTTCAGCACACCTTTCGCACATGAATTCGGGGGACAAAAAGCAGCAATTCACTTTTCCGACCTTGACAGTCCAGTGTATTCCCGTGTGAAACCACGGGGGACAGCAAGCCTTTTCCTCTTGCTCCCGGAGAAGGCCGGTACGCGTTCGTGAGTGTTGCTGCTTTCACTGTTACTGTTTTGCTGGAGCGAGAACTGAATGGGGGGATTTGTACCGGCCTCCTCTTTTCTTCGTAAAGCCAAGCCCCTTTCCGTGAAACTGACGGGGGATAACGGACAACCCGTGAAACGCGGGTGTGCGGACACGCACAGGGGGAGGGCCCTGGACGCTGGCCCAACCCCTACGCCCGGTAGAGAGAGAGAGAGAGAGCAACGCGACATGCAAGGCTCGGGGACTGACCGTCCCAAAACGTATCGTATGCCCAAATCTACATATAGCAAATCTGCTGGAAATAGCTGAATCTTGCCCTTTTCGTCGTGCAACCATTGTACTTTCACTCCCCTGTAAAAGCCCGTCAAAAGGCGGGCGGGCCATAGAGCCCGAGGGGCTCAACTCGCCCCTTTAGCCTGGGAGAAGAAGAGAGAGAGAGAGAGAGAGAGGCCGCTCATTCCCCGGTGCGCGAAACCGCGTGGGGGGCTGATCGACAGTGACGCTCCCCTGTCCATGCTGAAGAAGAGAGATGCCGCGAGAGGGAGGCCTCGTGCGAAGAGCTACTGTGCAGCCGAGCTTCCGGTCGCAAAATGTTAGGATGAGTCTTAAAGACCTGCAGACCATGGTTGTACTAGGTGAGGTGCACGGAAGGGGAAGGAGACAGCTGCAGATTTCACGGAGGCGGCGACGTGATTCCTGGGCAAGCAGAGCCTTTCTCTAAGTCGATGTCTCCAGCGGACTGTTCCTTGCGCTGCAAGAAGCTCAAGGATTCTCAGGACGACTGCTTGCAGCGACCCCTGCGCGGTGAAGCCAAGGCCAACGTGCATGTGAGCGTGTTCAAGCCTGCGAGGCTGTCGTTTGGCATCAGTTGAGCTCTGGCTTTTGGCACATTCTGGAGCTCTGCGAGGCATGTTTTGTGAACCGAGGTAATCGTGCTGGAGAGCCAGGATCCTAGCCCATGCCAGATGCGTACGAATTTGGTCCTCTCGAAATGCGTGGCCGCAAGCGGATACAGTGTCTGGGCGAAACCCTTGCCCACAACCACAACTGCATCATCAGCGACAACTGTATCATCCACGACAACTACGACTGCAGTGAGCAGAAGCAGCATACCGACAATCGCTCCGAACCAGGCGAGGGCTGGATAGGTGCTGTGTGTACTCTCTCGCAGGCTGTATCTAGTCTTCGACTTAAGTCCGTATCCACTCTTTGACTTTCTCACCCCTTTCTACCCCTGAGGCTCAAACCCCACCTTCACCTTCGAACACCAGCCATGCAACTGCAAAATCCAAAGATGATTTGCGCCAAGATCTTGGTACTTGGCAAGAGTGGGGGTCGCTGAATTGCTTCCACAGCTTTGCTTCAGAGCCGATCTCCGTCTCTTCGTATGTGGCTGAGAACTTGGAGGACTGCCTGTCGGAATGCGTCATGCACAAAGACTGCGATGCTGTGGTCTATGCCGTGGACAACAAAAGATGCTGGTTGCGGCGAAATCTGGACATAGACAAGTGCACCGTCAGCGATCGTTATCGGATCTTCGTTCGGCCACACAGGAATTCCCGACGAACGGAGAACTCCGTCTAGCAGACTTTTCCGCTTTGGCTTCGCCATGTTAGCTGTGATTTATGGACCGTCCAAGACGAGTTTAGTAGCGCCTGTCGCTGGTTTTTCGGAGTATTTCGGCTGCAGGCCGCAGGCTCCAGGAGTCAGGAGGGAACTTGGCAAAGCTGAAGGCTGCCATGCCCTTACCAAGGGCCCTTAGATCAGGCCGGAGCTTCTTTGCCGTGACAGGGATTAAAAAAATTGGCCATGCCCATGACTCATGACTTCTGTCACGTGTTTTTGGGCCAGGCCTCTGGCTTTGCTGAAGCAGCTCGCAGAAGCGTTCGCTGATGTCGATGTTGACCAGTGAGCTAGTGCTCATCTTGACGTGCACAAACAGAGGTCGGCAGTGTGTCTGTGAGAGAGTTGGCAATCTCGAACAGTGTTGGACGATGGCCCCAGGCTGGCTCTAGGAGGCTAGGTGATTTTCCTGGCTGTCGCAATCTCCACTCTACTACCGGGCACAGGCGGATCAGTGCTTGCACAGCGCGTACTCCAGCATCGAAAGTGCAGCACTCTGTTCTTGCCATGTCGCTGGCTGCCTTCGCAGCTCCCAACGTCCAAGCAGGCCAAAGAGGGCTTTTTCTACACCTCACTGCGAAATGCACCAAGCGGCTCCCAGGTGTCGGCAACAGTCCCGGCCTTTCCGTGCCGGTTGGACTGGCTAGCCATACGCTGGACCAAGAGCATCTGGGTTCACGTGGTGCTGGTCGGGCATTGCTATGTGCACCAGCTCTGTCTGCTTTTCTGGTAGCCTTCCGAAAAAAGCGCCCCTCAGCTGAGACATGAAGAAGGCACATCAAAGAGAAAAAGAGCGAGAGAGACACAGTGGTTGCTCTCCTGTACAGACACCGATATAGAGAGAAAGAGAGAGAGAGAGAGAGAGAGAGAGAGAGAGAGAGAGGGAGCGCTGCGCCCCGAGGCTCCCTGAGAAGACGGGCTGCCAAGGAGCAGGTGCAGACGATGGAGAGACCACTTCTGGATAATGTGATCACTGCTGGCGTGAAGGCCCAACGGCTTTGATACGACCTTGCTGGTAGAGCTCTAGGCTTGAGCAGCTTGAGCAGCTTTAGTGTTACGGGGCAGTAGCTCAGTCAGGGCCAGGGCCTGGCCCTTCAGGCGCTCGAGGCGGCAGAGCTCAACCGTGTGCGTTCCTCCTCGGAGTCCCCAAGCGATGCGAATGGCAACTGGGGCGGTGAGCCGCGGGACAGCCTGATGCCATCCTCATGCATCACCCACCCTGCAACAATGCTGGGACTTCCTAACTTCGGGCTTAGGGTTTGCGCTAAGGCCAGGGCTGTTACGCTGCTTCCCCTCAGGGCTCCTAAGGCTCCCACAGGTAGTGACTTAGTGTTAGTGGCCAATGGGCCAAGCTCGGCAAAGCGACTTTGGAGGAATGGGCCAATTCGGATTCGATCACGCAGCAGATTTCGACGGTGTCGCAGATGGGCCCCTTGGCTCAGGCCAAGCAGTTCATAGCCGACAGACTGGCCGGGGAGTACGATGCTGAGAGGATAGGAAGCCTCATCGATGAGAAAGTGGCTTCAAACAAGCTCCTCAGCATGGACAGCAGTCTTTCTTCATCTTGATGGTTGTTCTGTCTCGGTTCTTCACGCCACAGACTCGGACAGGATCATGATGTTCTCATTTTCCACCTGTCCTTTCTGCTTGCGGGCGAAACAAATCCTCCAAGAAGACTATGGCGAGGAGATTGAAGTCTACGAGTGTGACCAGGAAGCTGCCACCCAGCACACATTCATATCAGTAGGATGACAATGGTGATCATGATGATGAAGATGGTGAACAGCCAGCAGAACCACCACCACCACCGTCGTCTGTGCTACTGCCTGTGCCACTCCCTCTCCCACTCTCAGTACCACTACCACTACCACGACCACGGCGAAGACGACTGCTGCTACTGCTAAAGCGACAAGAACGACAAGAACGACACCACCACCACCGCCGTCGCCACGCTCCGGCAACGGCACCGGCATCGGCGGCGGCAGCAGCAGCAGCAGCAGCAGCAGCAACAGCAGCAGCAGCAGCAGCAGCAGCAGCAGCAGCACAATAGCAAAAGCAATAGCAATAGCCGCAGCAACAGCAGCACAAATACAAGAGCATCAGCAACAGCAAAGGCAACAACAACGACAACAAGAGCCGCAACACCTCCTGCTTCTGTTACTTCTGCTGCTGCTACTGCTACTGCTATTTGTCCTCCTCCTCCTACTCCTCCTGCTCCTACTCCCACTCTTAATCATACTGATACTTCTACTGCTACTATAGTGTGACAACGAATGACAACAACAACAACAACAGCAACAGCAACAGCAACAGCAACAGCAACAGCAACAGCAACAGCAACAGCAACAGCAACAGCAATCTGCAGCGGCAACGGCAACAGTAACAACAGCAGGAGAAGCAACAACAACAGCAGCAGCAACAACAACAACAACAACAACAACAACAACAACAACAACAACAACACCAACAGCGACAACGACGACGATCAGCGACAGCGACAGCGCAACAACAACAACAACAGCAGCAGCAGCAGCAGCAACAACAACAACAACAACAACAGCAACAGTAACAGAAACAGCAACATCAACAGCATCATCATCGACAACACCACCAGAAACGGTCCCTGCTCCTCCTCCTCCTCCTCCTCCTCCTCCTTAAGCTCCTGCTCCGCCTGCTACTACGACGACGACTACACCTACTAGTACTGCTGAGTGTGTGAAGGGTAGTCTTTTGTGGAAATCAGACCATTGCCCTGCATCCCCCTCCTCCTCTTCCTCCCGTCGTGGCATTTGTCCTAGTCATCATTGTAATCGATTTTTTTCGGGCCACTGCGACAGTAGTAGCTTTTGAAACACACTACGACTTGTAAGGACGGGTATGCCGTTCGAGCTGAGCTTGGGCGGCGAACCGGCCGCACCTCCATGCCTTCCGTCTACTTGGGTCCTTCTGTGTACTTGGGCGGCTGCAACGATGGGGGTCTAGGCCAGCGGAAGAGACGCTGTTAGATGGGATGTCACCGCTCAGCACGCAGGAGGTATCGCGACCCTGGATAAGCAAGAGCTTTTGGGAAACCTGCTGGCCGAGCGCAATGCTGCCACGAGAGCCCTGGCAGAGAGTGTGCCAAATAAGGGGTCAGTCCAACGCGCAGGCGGATGGTGTGACAGTGCGCCTTTCAGGTTCCTTCGCTCCGCTGGACTGGCTGGCAACGCTTGGACAACCAGATCGGCAGGAGACCCTGAAGAAGAAGAAGGTCCGCGAGTCGGTTTGCACCTGATATTGTAGTCGGATTATTTAGATGAGGTGCTCGGTTTCTGACATGACACTTCGGTGCATCCCTTTGGTTGATCTTTCCTACTCGATGCTGAAGAGGCCTTGCTGGCTGCCTGTGCAGAGGCCTCCCTTTGCTGTGTCTGACAGGATCCTTTGAATGCTGCTTCGACTTGCACAGCTAGTGTACCCCCGAGCTGCGGAACCGGTGACGTGCAGGCACCGAAGAACGGCGTCGGTGCGAGCGATGCTGAGAAGGACAAGGCCTTGTTTTGTTTGCATCAGCAAGGATCCCTTCGTAAGAGTCTGTAGCGCCTGAATCGGGAACAGGTGGAGGCTGCAGCCACGGATCTGGAGGCACTTTGCCCCTCCAATCCGGCTCAGGCTTCCCTCGAGGGTGTCTGGGAGGCTTGGCGGCAGTCCGAAGAACCGCGGAGCTCCATCGTGAGTCGTGTTGCAGCTTTGCCAAGCATTTCCCTGGCCTTTCTTAACTCCCGAGGATCTGCAGTACTGTCTCCAGGCTGCAAGTGAGATACGACATTTTTGGCCTGGAACTCCTGGCACTGGCGGTCTTGGGCTGTCTTTGAGTCCAAGGCACGGCGGAGGGAAGCTCTAACGGCAAAGTCGGCCCCTTTCTGGGTGACGTTACGTGCCCCGGCAGATGCTTTCATGCGCGCTTCACCACGAAGCGACGAAGTCCGAAGAGACTTTCCTAGGCAAACCTTCGTTGACGACGTCCAGTTCGTGAACGCAGTGGAGATTGGGCCAGTGAAGGTTGCCTTGCAGGCGCCGGGGCGGGGGCAGCTCCACCGCCTGTTGCAAAGCTCGGATACCAACAAAAGTGCGAGACACCGACTGGCAGACTTCGCACACTTCTCACACGTACAAGAAGCCTCCCTGTCTGAAGCAAAAAAATGCAAACTTTCCGTGCTGAACCTGCTGACTGCTTGCAACAAATTCTCCTCCAGACTGTTCAGTGCTGAATGTGTACCTCTGGATATGTTGTTTGGCAGTACTGTCCGATGATCTGCGACCAGGCAGAACGGGAAGTCCTTAATGACAAAGAGATCAGGCCCCCGATGCAAGAGAGTATCGTTTCTGTTCGCCTCCCCTCGCAGCTTCGGCAGGGTGACTTTCAAGGAGACCGTGTTCTCAATCCTGGGCATCGAGATCTTCCGCAAGCCGACTAAAGGTAGGATGTCCCTTTGTGGCTCTGTGCAGTTTGCCGCCGATGCCGGAGCCAAGCGCAGCTTCTGCTTCCAGCAGGTGCTGGGACCTGGAAGCAGAGGTTTGTGGACGCGGGCCTGCGCGTCATGGACACACCTTCCCTCTTCGTGCTGCGCAAGCGCCGCAGCTAGGGCAGTGAGAGCAAGATGCTGTAGAATTGACATGGTTTTCCCCCCAGAATTTTCGGGCATTTCGGTCCTGCAGAGACCAGAGCAGAAGTCCACGACAAGTTTTCAGCCCCCACCTTTTGAGCTTTGGATTCAGCTCTTTGATTCCCGGCTCAAGAGTGAAGAGGGCGCTCTCCCCCGAGACTCACGCTTATGCACTTATGCTGCTGTTGGAGACGACTCAAAAACTCTCTGCCAGCATGTTGTCGTTTCGGGAGAGCTTTGGGCTGGAATCTCGAGCAGACTGTGGCTTGGTCCGAAAAGCACTGTGAAGCATTGGCTGCTCAAGCCCGAGATTTAAGCGCCCGGTCCTGATGCTGTGACGTCCCGTCCTGAGCAAGCTACAATCGAAGGATCGCGCAAACTTGGGTCTCTCAGGTGGAACGTACCTTGACAGGAATGAACATTCTTACCGTACAGTGTGGCTCCGCTGGCTGTGCTGCGCGCTCGGCCAAGCTGGTAATCTGTTTGCAAACCCTTCATCCTCTATGCTCATGGTGACTTTGCCCGTGACTGTGCCGACAACCGTCTAGGTAAGGCTTAAACCCCGCCAGTAGCATGACAGAAGAATGCAACATCGACGGGCAGAAGCAACCAGATGGCCGGCAACAGTTGCACACCTTTTACACGCACAGCTCGCAGTCTCACGGTCTGCTTAAGTTCACATCATATAGTCGTACGTCCTAATCCGTTGATGGCGGGGTGCCGTCCTGGGCCTTCGGCTCCCGGGGCCGATGGCGAGAGCGAGCAGGCGCCGCTTGCGCCGCTCGCTGGGAGGAGGTCTCGCAGGTGTGGACAAAACAAAGAGAACTTAAGCGCTGCTGCACATGCTCCTCCCTCTTTGTCCCCCGAACCCATCGCAGGCAGCGTGTCCGGGAGCGATTGTCCGCTTTGAGCATGTGGCTGACAGTGAAGACCGAGCCGTCGAATTCCGGTGGCACGGCCGGCTCTGCAGCCCATGCCAGAGAGGCCCAGGCCCCTCCCTCAGCCCCGGGCTCCCCAGTCTCGGCGCGTGCGTCCTTGGAGACTCCACCGGCATCTCCCGCGTCGGACCCGGAGGCACTTTGGCAGGATCTTTGGGAATCCATCAGTGCCAGTGGCTTCCGAGATGAGCGCAGTGCCATGTCCCATGCATGTGAGATGTGGCGGCGTCCTTCAAAGAAGAGCTTTTGGTCGAGATTCGCCCGAGCTGGTCCTTCTCAGGCACAGCATAGGGATTGGGAGCGAGTGAGCATGGCTGTGCGCGCTGGAGTCCCGCAAGCCTTGCGATGTGCTGTTTGGACGACCTGCAGCGGTGCTGCCGGGAAGAAGACCAAAGTGGCTTCCGAGCTCGGCCAAGAGGCGGACGCGCTGTATCCGTCCTTCGTATCGCAGGGCTTGAACTTGCGAAATGAAGCTTCGGGGGTCATCGATGTTGACGTCCCGCGTACAGGCTGTGTAGAAGCACTGCTGGAACCCCTGCGCCGGGTTTTGCTGGCCTTTGCCGCAAAGAACCCCCAAATAGGATACTGCCAGTCCATGAACTTCATTGTGGCAACCCTTCTCGAGTGCTGCGACGAGGAGAGCGCGTTTTGGATTCTGTGCAGCCTTGTGGAGGACATGCTCCCGGAGAACTATTACACGCGGAACATGATCGGTGTTCGTGTTGACATGATGGTGCTCAACTCCTTAGTGATGCGCCACCTCCCAACTCTACACGCGCACTTCCTTCAGCATGAAGTCGACCTTTCGCCCGTCACAATGGGCTGGTTCCTGTGTTTGTACGTGAACACATTACCGAATCCCAGCCTGCACCGGGTGCTGGATTCTCTACTCCACGAGGGGTCGAAGGTCCTCTTCCGAACTGCGCTTGCCATCCTTCATGGCTTGGAACCTCAATTACTGAATGCTCAAAGCTTGGCAAAAGTCTACGAGGTCTTGCGAAGCCCAGCATGCCCTGAGGCGGAGCTGCTAAACACCATGTATGGATCCTGGCTAAACTGTCTCTCCATGGATTCCGTGGTTGACCTTCGGAGTCAGCACCTGAAGGATGTTCTCGAGCAGGCAGGGGGGCTGAAAGACTCGGCTGGTCCTCAAAACTTCTCTTCTTGCAGACTCCGAAGGCTTGGCCCCCCCCCCCCTTTGAACCCTTCACAAGTTGGCGATCATGTGCCCACCAGCCCCTAGCCCCTCGCTTCCTGAGGATGCCATGGTGGAGGCCCGGCGCGCAGAGCTGCGAGCACGCCGCGAGAGCGACGGCCCAGGCCCAGGCAGGTCAAGGGCAAGGGAATTCGTGTCAAGTCTGGTGTGTTTGACGCAAGAGAGACCGTACTGCCTGTCCAGGTCTGGTGGTGCCGATCGATACTGGTAGCGATGAATCCTTGTCACCCCTGAGGAACTTAGAAAGTTTCTTAAAAGTCGCCGACAGAGAACACAGTGATGCTGAGACAGAGTAAAAATTACATTCCGTCTCGTGCCCAAGGCCTAGGCATCTGCCGGGCTTTTTTGTTGCTCTGACTGAATGCAAAGAATCTGACCGTGGATGATCCGTGGTATTGGCCTGCGCAGTCTCGCACCGAGGTTGCCAACCCGACTGGAAGCGGCACACGTAGCAAAGTAGAAGTCCCTCTGTGTCGGTGGTTGAGTGAATGCTGGATCAAAAGAGAGCTGCTTAAATCGCTTGTTGAGCCTTGCACAAGCAACCTGGGGCAGCACTCAGAGCAAAGCCGTGGCCTTCTTCGAATTCCATCTCGGCAGTCTCGGCTTCGAAACTGGCCTGCGACAGACGCCCTCGCAGCCGGTACTTTTGCGAGGTGGCCTGTGCCCTGGCCTAGCTGCTTTCAGCTCTGGAAATGTTGGGAGTGGCCAGGTTTCCCGAAGATGGCTCCGGCGGCACGCGGCAGAGAACGTGGCCAGTTTGCCAAGGCTGCGCTGCGCTGCGGCCAAGCATTTCAGTTTCCCGAGATGTGTCGAACCTTTCAGGGCTTCCTTGCCACCCTACTGGTTGCGGCCCTGTGGGCCGCGAGCAGTGCAGTCTCAGGCGGACGGAGCACGGAGAGACAGCAGAGTCTGGAAGCTTGCGGCAGACCGTCTTCAGATTGCAAAGAAATGTCTACATGCATTGAAGGTGCCGTTACCTTTGTGACCGGCGCAGTTCGGAGTACACCCGATGCTCGCAGCCTTGTCGCTCGAGAGGGTGGTGGGGTCCTGGGCAAATTTTCACTTGGTTTCACCGCGGGACGACAGTCGCCGGCTGTAGCTTCGAGGTCGCGACTGGCATGCGGGTAACGTGATGAAGAAGATTGATTTCAAGAGCTGCTCTCAGCGCCAAGAGCGGAAAATCAGTTGTCCTGGCAGTGAGCTCTGGCCTCCGCTGCCACATAACCAAGGGCAGCAGCAGCGCAAGCTCAAGCGCGCAAAAAGAAGAAGGCAGAGAAGGGCCGAGACCCTGGCTCTGCAGAGTGTAGCGAGTGCAGCAAAGATTCATACCCCCTTCAGAGTTTGCACTTTTTTAAGGTGACGGCAAGAAGGAGGTCATCGAGCGACCCAAGCGCTTCGAGTCCAGCCATCGCCTCGGGGCGTGGACAGGCATTGCCTCGGCATGGCTTGAAACATCGGAGCTGAACTCTTCGTGAGAAAAGCAGAGACCAGGCCCTGTCTACTACAAGGGAGAGCAGGCGCTGCGAGAGCTGCGACGTTCGCCCCTCCCGCCCCACCCGTCAGGTCGCCACGCTGAACGGCACCATGTCGGAGTTCAAGGCTGGGTGCAAGCGGTGCAGTCGCTGCTCACAACTTGCACCCGGAGGTCGACATCTGGAGCGGTGCTCACCCTGCATGGCAGGGCAAGAAGGGCAAGGAACCTCTGGCATTTTGCTGCACGACTCATCCATGTGTGGGGGCGTGCCAAAATTCGGTCGGTAAAGTACAGCTGTGGAGGTGGTAACCTGGTAGGGAGTGGCCAGGTTCTCCTTGACAACTCTGCGCTCACGAAGTCCGGATCCCGCCTTGTTTCGCATTGGCCGGCTTAGAACTGCCCCGACCTACGGAGGTTCCAGGAAAAGTTCGGAATGGCGGCAGATGTCTATGGTGAGCAAGGAATGGAGCAGGTGAAGGCTGCATGCTCAGCGAAGTTGGAGTGGCAGTTCCAGTAAAATCAGAATCCGCATGCCGGACTCGAACTCTGAGCTTCTGCAGGCAAACGAGGAGCTGAAGAAGAAGCAGGAGGATGGGCGCCCTCGTTGCCTTCTCTCTGTGTCCACTTGTAAGGTTCAGTGTTCTGCGCAGTGCAGTCTGCTAGCGTGCTCGTGCTGAAGGAGATGGCAGCTCAGGGTCTGAAGGTATATTAAATGCGTCCACAGCCTCAAAGTGCCGGAGGCCTTTGAAATGCATGTAGATCTTGGCACAAAGAGGATGCTTCCAGACACGGCAATCGATTGTCTCCCTCTGCCAACGCCCTACGCGCCCTGCACCGATTTTCAAGCGGATCTGGTCATCGGCTTCTCAGACTTGGAAAATGCTCTTTTAGCTTCGGAAGCTGAAGATGAGCACACGGGGAAGCTTGCCAAGAGGACTTCAACAGCTACCAACCCGTCTGGCTCAAGCAGTGCAAGCTGCAAGAGCCAACAACAAGCAGAGAGCGAAACAGATGCCTGTACTCGCGACTCACTGCCAGCTCGACTTCCTTTAACGATGCCGTAAAGCAACAGCATGTCAAAGCACAAGCGCCTTGCCGGCTTTCCAATTTCCGAACCTGGGTTACCTGTGTGGATGGCCAAGAAGGGTGGCCCGCATGGCAAAAGGGGCAAGCAGGCCGCGTGCTCAACAGCACCGGCAGCTGGCACGATCTGTTCCTTGCGCCTGCACCCAGGGCGGCGGCCCGACGGGAAGAGGCAGGGAATCCGGGGATTCTGGCCCAGGCCCTGCCCTGCCCTGAACTGTGCCAGGCAAGGCCTCAAGGGGCAAGCAGAAGCAGAAGCCTCACTCTGGGAAGCCAGGAAAAGGAAAGCCGAGGCCAGCGTTCAAGGCTTACGGGCCTGTCCCGGCTCGGATCCGGAGCCTGTGCAAGGAATGGTTTCAAGAAGAGCGCGAAAGGAACCGGTAAGGGCAAATCGAAGGCTAGCAAAGGAGAGAAAGATGTGAAGGCTCTGCAAGCTGTTTGCCTTCCAGATCGTGAGAAGTTAGTTACGTAGCTGTGCAATGCTGGCAGGCAGAGAACAGAGGGGTGAAGCGAAAGGCAGAAGACGAGCAGAAAGAAGAAGAGCAGAAGCAGGCCCGTTTGTTGACTCTGACGTGAAGCAGCTCATTTGTAGGTGTGCTTGTGAAGAGTCCAGGGCAAGAAGGTGCTGACGCCGAAGAAAAAGCGAAAGCTAGAGGTCACCAAGCTGTACGGTGCGGCACCCAGTCGTCTCCATGGGCACAAGCAAGAAGCACATGCTGGCATTGTGCTGCCTCGAGGTGAGTTGATCAATCCAGGGAGGACGCTGCACCGATACAGTCCCATGTGCAACTTGATCATTGACACCGGCCAGGACGAGGAATGCTGAGGTCGTCGTCAACGACATTCTTGAGATTCTTCGAAAACGTCCATGCCTCGACGTAAGTTTACCTCTACATGGCCGCGTGCCGCAGCTGCCGTGCCGTGAAAAGCATGGCCACGGCTCCAAGGCACTTCCAACAAGCTCGCTGACTACTGTTCTACAAACGTCGGCGCGCGTGTCATAGAGGCCACAGGAAGCCTGGACGGCAGCTGACCGGAGCGTAGAATCTTGTCAGGCATGCCTGAAATGGGGAAGCAAGCCCCAGAGGCACGGAAGAAAGCCGGAGCTTCTGCTGATATTGCGGAGTTTTGTCACGGACGGAATCCGGTGTGCAGGCGAGAGCTGCTGACGCACTTCAAGGAGAGCCTCCCGAAGATGGCACAAGACCGCTACGGGCATCAGGCGAGCGAGCGAGCGAGCGCGGAAGTCCCAGCGGAAGCTTTGGCCGCTCTTCTCGCGTTTACTCCGTGGGCAGGTTGTTTTAAAGTTGCTGCTCTACTCCTCCAAGACCTCTACATCAAGGAAGCCTACGGAAGAGGAGAGAAAGGCCAGGACGCTCGCCACATGGACACCGCAATTCCTTGTCAAACGAACTGCAGGCCCAGTTGAAGAATCTGAGGGAGATCTTGGATCAATTCACCGGCATCTCGGCAGGATCGTTCATGTAGGACCGTGTGCAACTGCGTGTGGAAGCCTTGTTGCGACACCTGAGGTAAGAATCTGCATGCCACCTTCTATCACCGCTTCGGCTGTAAGGTCATCAATGGCTCGGTTCTGTGTCCATGCGATGAGAGCGAACTGTTGCCCGACATTCGGCCGCCTGTGCGTCTCTCAAGGCATTTACTTCTCCACGGCCGCCCGGTGCTTTGGAAGCCTCTACTGTTGACTCAAGACTTCAACTTCGAGTCGGTGCCGAGGTCAGAGCCGCCGACAAACGGAGGATACTTCACAGCATAGCCGTTCCACAGGCGCCCGTGGCTTTGTGCAGATTCCGTCCCCCCCTGAATTCCTTCAAGTGCTTCTGCGAAGGCAGTGGCGTTGCTCCGGCCCGAACTGCCCAGCAGCAAGCCGTTGCGGCAGTTGCTCCATGCGGAGGCTGCCTGTCGCGCAGCATCTTCAGATTGCAAGCCTACTGCATGTGACATTGCGAAATCTGAATCATCCCATGGTGGATCAGTGTCCAGTTGTTGGAACTTACTGCTGCAGCTTCTGCGCTTGCTGCTGCGACTCTAGGCAACCGTCTGCTCTGGCTTGGTTCTGGAGTCTACGAGAGAATTCGGCAATGTCGACCTGATTTTTAAGATATCTATCCGCTGCATGCCTTTGTGAGAGAAGCGGTCTTCGTTGTAAAGGTTTGTTCCCGGTTTATTCAGACCTTTGAAGGTTGCAGTGTGATGACGTGTGACCCGCATTTCAACCCTCTGCCAGGACCTCACAGAGCAACACAGGAAAGACATCGCACAACATCTCGAAGAAGCTGTCGAGAAGGCTGTCGAGAAGGACACTTCCGGACTCCTAGTCCGGTCCCAGACCTCAGGTTGCTTTGCCCAGTCCAGAGGATGATGGAATGGGTGTGGGGCAAGCTCGTGAAAATTGCCCCGAGCAGGAGCTTCTCGGCTACGACATTGTGCACCTGCTCTTTCAGGCCAAGCATGTAGAGCCATGTTTTTGGAATCGAGCGTCGTGGCCTCTCTCGAAGGCGGTGTGCGAAGTCGCCTCCGATTCGCAGTTGACTCAGCTGGCGGAGCAGTGCATGGCCGCTTCCCCAGTCAAAGTGAAGCTTGCCATGCATGAGTCTGCACGTCAAGAGTGAGAGTCTCTTAGCAGGACGGCGCCGCGTACCTGCTTTCCTCTAAGCCTGGTGCAGAGGTGCCGTGCGAACTCCTATCTCAGTGTCGCTTCGGGAGCGTTTCTGCGTCAGGCCTTGTTGAGACTCCTCGGTGTGGCGAATGCCAAGCAAAGAAAGGCCGACTGCGTCGCTTGAAGTTCACCCTTTCTCCCTCAATCTGTCTGTGCATGCCTGCAAGGCATTCTGCAAGGATTTGAAAGGCAAGTTCGCCCCCTTGGCAATGAATTCCGTGGATTACGTGGTCAGGTGCTTATGAGCTCGTTCACCGTCACAGCCTCTAAACGCACCCCATGCTCTTTCAGGTCATGATTCGCCTTGCCACAACCGTGGATGACACGGTGATGCTCTCGAAGACCATGATAGCTGAGTGGACCAAGGACCGGAAGACCGCCGGGGGACCGCCTCTCTGCGATTTGTCTCTACTCGGTGCTCAGCCGGTGCTCAGCAGCTCAGCCCTGTCAAAACAGGACATGGCCGACCTTTGCTTTGACAAGTACGGTCACAAAGTCTTGGCCTGGATCCTTCAGCACCTTGGCTTCCTTATGTAGAACCTCCAGGAAGCAGCAAGCACCCAAGCCTTGCAGCGGCGAGCGAAGAAAGAGAGCACGGTTTGGAAATTTTGTGCTGCATGCTGCATGAGAGCACAACCGCTTCACTTGCAACACGGATGTGACAAGAACGCAGATGAAGTAGCCCAGAGCCCAGTCAGGGGGTTGGAATAGAGTGGGTGCCACGACCAGTGTAGGTGCCACTTCCACGTTGCATTGTGTCTAAGCTTAGCTGTGAGAGCGAGGCCAAATGACAAGCACCTTTTCTCCCCCTACGAGCCAGCAACCAAGCTCAGAAGCGCTGGGTGCATACTGGGCTGGGATTCTGCTACTCGCATGAGGGCGACAAGATTCCCATGTTAGGTGCCAGTGCGCCGCCCTACCGTCGCCCACGTCGTTGAAGGCGCAGCGAGCTGGCATCCGAAAAGCCACACGTCACTGCCAAAGAGGCCGCCGAGACCCGGCGCCAGGAGCTTCTGCGGCATCTGAAGCCGTGCCCTTGGGCCATCTTGGGCCCTTGGGCCGCTCTTCTCGGATTTTGGTCTCGGTATCAGGCCGGCCGTCTGCAGCGCTTTGCTCAAGGCCCCACTGAAGGCTGCGGGTGACAAGTATGCGAAGGTGCGGCAAAAAGGGCCGAAGCATAGGCTTGAGAACGGGCGCGGCGTGGGATCTCGAGAGGACCTCCTCGCCGCTTATCTGGCAGCCGATTGGGATCAGAAGCTCGTGGAGGCTCTTCTGGCATCCGCTCAGAAGGAGGCAGAGCAGAGCAGAGCTCGTGAGCTCGCTTGGCCTCCCGACCCCCCGCCCTCGCCAGGCCTCTGGCGAGGACCTGGGCTCGATGAACGACGGCACGGTGGTCAACACCTTTCTTGTCTTGATGAAGCTCGATCCGGACAAGGCAGGTGCTTTCAGATGTTGGGCCTCCCATGCTTGCGCAGTGTCGGAGGGGAAGAAGCTGGCGCAACCCCTGTGGGAACGATGTCTGCAGCAGGAGACTTGAGCCAGAAGGCACGCATACGCACGAATCTGCTTCTGCAACGAGCGGTTTCAGGTCCCAGTTGGTCAAGGCTAGCACCAGCCGCTGCTCCTTCTTGCTCCTCGCCATGCTGAAAAGTCTCGGGCATAGCGTTTCAACTCTTGAACTTCTGCGCTGCAATCCGCTGAAGCTGAGCCGAACCCGTTCGTGAAGGTGGCGATGATCTGAAGCGGTCGATTCTTGCGGCCGTGAGGCATCACCCATGCTGTCCGTGGCAAATCGCACACTGCGAGCGATGGCGCTGAAAACAGGGCCAAGAAGGAAGCTATCGAGAAGGCCGTGTCGTCTGCCGAGGCACTCGACAAATCTGAATCCCCTGTGCCGTAAACCCCTCCGCCGCCGCGCTCTCAGCGCAGAGGCATCGGGCCTCCAAGTCGCCGGAGCTCGGAAACTCCTGGCTGAGGCATCCGTCGGCAGCTGCCTCTTCATTTTTCTCGCTTGCAGCATGTCTGCCTGTGCAGGTTTAGTCGCAGGGAGTCCTGAGCCATGCTAGCCAAAGTTTGCTGCGCCGCTTGTTAATGACAGGAGACCCTTGCAGCAATCCGGAACACAGCATTGAAGGATATCTGGTCGCAGTCAGCCTGCAAGAGTCCCGATTATGACTCTGAGTCCCGGCCTAGCCGCTGATCAGAGCTCCAGTCCAAAAAGCCGCCTGCTGGATGTCTGTCCGTTCATGCTCGCCTTCGGCATGGCTAGCGGCCGGCCTCGATTCGCCCCTGGAGCGTTTCAAAAGCGAGCAAGGATCCACTAGACCGAGCAGCCTCCAGGAGCCCACTGACCCCCTGTAGAACCCGCTAAAGCAGCTAAAAGCCACACAGACATCATCACACCTCCCTTTGGCAGCCGGGCCTCGCCATGTCAGGGGCCGCTCGGCTTCACGGAGGTCGCGAGAGACTTTGCTTTGGCGTGACGTGAGCCTCTGAGGTTACGTCGACCCTGGTCTGGCGGGTGGCTCCAACCAGCTTCCCTCAGCGAGGCACTTGCCTGTGGATCTGACTGCCAGGATGCCATCATCAAGGAGAATCGCTGTCGCAGGCTCTCAAACACCAGACATCCTGAGTTAGACATGCCCGTTCCCGCGTGTTCTTGCCGAAGCTTGCCTGCCGTTGCCATGCTGTGCGCAGATCCTACTATCTGGGCCGGTTTGGATCTGGTCGAGCGGCCCGGTTTGGTCCCGGATTCTTAATCGGTCGAGCAATTTCTTGTCCCTGCAGGTGCGATTCCAAAGCCTGGTGACACTGGGGTCTACGACCCCTACAACAACGACAAGGCAATCAATTGGTCAGATTTGATGGTACAGCGTGCGTGGACATAGCACCATCAGTAGAGGAGGAGTCACAAGTCCCACAAGGGTTCTTGACCATGGGGCATCGGATGCCCCTGTACAGGTCTCTGCAATCAGCCCCCAGAGGGCAGTGGCCATTCCAGAGATTGCTGGCTACCAGCAGACATCTCATTTTGCCTCTCATCGGGAGAACCCTCTTGGACTAGCCATGACCTTCATCCCACCCGTTCTCCAATCAAGGTCATGGGACAAGTTCCGTCACACCGGGCGTCTGGTGGGCACCAAGATGTGCCAAGAGCAACGAAGTGTCAGCGAAGCTGTGTGGAAATCCAGCAGGTTGTGGCGGATGGAGCCGTCGTAGCCTTGGTTTGCTGTCCGGGTGATGAGACCCGTGGTGCGTGATTTGGTAAGGATGTCACCGTGGAGGCCGCGGCCTAGAGGGAGCTTTGCGTCTCCCTTGGTCTCGGTCTGCTCGCTTTGCAAAGGCTTCGAACCGCTCCGTCTCGGGCGTGAGAACTTGCCTGAGAACTGAGCCGAGACGACGTGCTGGCATGCTCCGACCACGTGTGAGTCTGAAGGCGCCGCACCCGCTCTTCCCACTCGTTCTCGTGCCCAGAGCGCCACCAGCGAGGCAGGACAAAACCACAGCGCGAGCATGCGCAAGCGTGCTTCTGCAGTCGCCATCGTTCGCCTTGCCAGGCGAGAACACTTTCCCAGAGGCAAGACGGGTCCTGTTGGGAGCAAGGTGAAAGAAGCCCTGCGCCGTATACTGCGCCGCACCTTACCGCGCCGTACCGTTCCGTACTGCGCCGTACCGCCCCGTACCGCCCCGCACTGCGCCGTACCGCCCCGAACTGCGCCGTACCGCGCCGACGCCGACCGTACCGCCTCGTACCGCGTTCCGTACTGCGCCGTACCGCCCCGTACCGCCCCGTGCCGCCCCGTACCGCGCCGTACCGCCCCGTACCGCCCCATACTGCGCCGTACTGTACCGCCCCGTACCGCCCCGTACCGCCCCGTACCGCTCCGTACCGCTCCGTACCGCTCCGTACCGCCCCGTACCGCCGTACCGCCCCGCACCGCCCCGTACCCCCCTGTACCGCCCCGTGCCCGCCCCGTACCGCTCCGCACAGCCGCCACGTGTGCCCTTGCGGCTGGTTCTAATGCTGGGGCACGAAGTTAGAACCACGCGCAGCCCACACATACCGCGGCCGCATTTCCTTTGTGATGCTTTGCCGCCCCATACAGCCTCAACCCACACCAACTCGGCCCAAACCGTCCTGCTTGCACAGCAACATCTGGTTCTAACTTGCTCGGGCACGAAGTTAGAACCACGTGCCGGCCACAAAAACCGCCCGCACCGCCTTGATGCCACCGGTCCGGGCTTGCACAGCACAACATCTGGTTCTAACTTGCTGGGGCACGAAACAAGAAATAGAACCACATACCGTACCGCCCCGTACCGCCCCGTACCGCCCCGTACCGCCCCGTACCGCCCCGACTGCACCGTACCGCACCGTACTGCGCCGTACCGCCGCGTACCGCGCCGTACCGCCCCGTACCGCCCCGTACCGTCCCGTACCACCGCCCCGTACCGCTCCGCACCGCTCCGTACTGTAGGGAGCCCGGCCTCCTTTCACCTATCCTTTCTTGCAAAAAGCAGCTAGCAAAAGGCAGCTAGGTGAAGGGAGCCCGTCCTCCTTGCAAAAAGCAGCTCGGTGAAGGGAGCCACCTATCCTTTATTATTGCAAAAAAACAGCTAGGTGAAGGGAGCCCGGCCTCCTCTCACCTATCCTTTCTTGCAAAAAATAGCAAGGTGAAGGAGGCCCGGCTTCCTTTCACCTATCCTTTGTTGCAAAAAGCAGCTGGTGAGGGAACCTGGCCTCCTTTCACCTATCCTTTCTTGCAAAAGGCGGCTAGGTGAAGGGAGCCCGGCCTCCTTTCATCTATCCTGTCTTGCAAAAAACAGCTAGGTGAAGGGAGCCCGGAGGCCACCGCTCCGTACTGCGCCGTACCGCCGCGTACCGCCGCGTACCGCCCCGTACCGCCCCGTACCGCCCCGTACCCCCCCGTACCGCGCCCGCCCCGTACCGCCCCGTACCGCCCCATACCGCCCCGTACCGCCCCGTACCGCCCCGTACCGCCCCGTACCGCTCCGTACCGCTCCGTACCGCTCCGTACCTTGATGGGCTGTGGGTTAGCTAAGGAATGCTAAGGAGTTAGGTGAGTTAAGATGATTAGAAATGGCAGTTATAAAAATTAGCTAACTAGTTAAGTAGTAACACAGAAGTAGTGTATAACATAAGATTCTCCGTGACATGTGCATGCTTTCATGTGTGCTTTTGAACGACGAAAACAGGATTTATGAGATGAAAATGTTGCCGTGGCCAGTGGCCGATGACATGGGAATGGCTCTGTGCTTTTGGATTTTAAGGTTGTTGTATAAAAAAGGCGGGCAATATGAAATTTTGAATCCTTCATTTCCTGGCTAAACATCATGTGGAAAAGCAACTTCAACTTATGCAGGAAGAAGCACCAGGGTGCTGAGCAAGGAAGATAAAGACATGCCCTGCAGTGCAACTCTGGAAATATTCCATGCAGTTTTTAAGCAGCTTCTGTTTGTTTTGCAGCTGCTATTTCATGGCATGTTTGCATGACCATGTTTGTCATGTGCATATAGCATGATCCTAAGGAGCATGCTTGGACTCATCATGTAAGCAGCTTTTCTTTGTCTTGCAGCTGCTATTTCATGGCATGTCTGCATGACCATGTTTGTCATGTGCATGTAGCATGACCCAGAGGTGCATGCTGAGCAAGAAGATCCATGTTCTTTTTCGCTGTCGTGAAACGGAGAGCCAGGCCCTCGAAGAAGTTTGTCAGCTACGGAGGTGCAAAGGGATTAAAGTGCGGACACAATTCGTGTCTCTCAAATAGACCACCGGTGTCAGGATGTCTTTGCTCTCGATAATCACAGGCTGCTCCATCTCGGTCCACACTGCACAGTGCTTGTCCTTGTTGTACTCCTGCAAGCTCCAAAGGGAGACCACGGACCACAATGTGCCTTGCACGGAAACATGGCAAAAAACTTCGGCACAATCCCAAGGAGGGTCCCGCCCTTTGTCTGCTTGCAGCAAACACACGTCTGCCTTGCTTGCCAACCCACCACCAGGAAGCCGTAGAATCGTTGCGATCTTCAGGTCATCCTTGGAGACTTGTGGGAAGCTCTGGAGCACCAGATCCCTGAGCTTGGTGGGGGGCTTCTGCCGTGGGTTTTCCAGAGCGAGGGCGACCGGAAACTCGGGCAACTTCTCCAAGTGCCACAGCTCATGGGCAAGCACTTCCTCGTAGAGGGATCGCTCGAAAGTGCTGGTGTTCTGGATGGATGCTGCATATCTGGTGATTGTCCTGTGCTTCCGCTCCATGCTGAATGTAGCAGGCAGCCTCTTGTGCTTTTCATAGTGGTCACCCATATGCAGCAACCAGTGCATCTTGCGGGTTACGTGCTCCCCCCAGCCCGTTTCGAACCAAGAGCTCATGCACTTGTCGGCGGCCTCTCGCAACATGGATGGAAGCACACAACCATGCCCATGGCAGGCGGCCTGCAATAGTTCCACCATAAGGCACATCTGCAAAAAAGCTTCGCACTCGGATGGTAGGAAGCCTTTGTCAAGGATGCAGGTTCGGACGAAAAAGGCGAGCACCGGCAGCAAACTGAGCATTTCGGAAGCTGTCGTTTTGAACTTCCCCGCTTCTCTACGGGATTTCATCCGCTTGTTCTCGAAGACTTGCTTCAGCTTTACGTGTGCGAAGGAAGCCGGCTGTGTCCACAGATCCACGTATTTCTCCAGATTGGCAAAAACATCCTTGAAGCCATGGTCCTTCGTGGCACTGAGAAGTAACCAGGTCGCATCATTCAATGTTCCATTACTCAAGCAGCAATGCATCCAATCGTGCACGAACACGGTTGCTGGTTTGACCACCCTCCTCAGCAGAGGCTCCGAAAAAATGCTTTCTGTGTTGAAGGTCCACCCAGTGGCTTGCTGCCACATGCCAAAGTCTTTGGCTGAACACCGGCCCTTCAGGTCGGCGAGCCTCGACCAAGAATCCCAAATATCGTCATCCGAAACCAAATGCAAGTCAGCATGTGCATGCTTGGGGATCTTCTCTTCGTTGCGATTGTCGGCTCGCTGATTGCCACACAACAAACAATACTTCGAACCCGAGTCACCTTTCACACTCCAAGCGAATTTGTGAGCTGCTCCGTCTTGTATTACCATGCTTGGCTCGAATGACAAATGAAACCCGCCCTTCGGCACCTGCATCCAAACACCTGCCGCCGGGTCATGCTTAGAGTGCAAGAAGATACTGCGAAAGATGATTTTGAAGATCTGGCTGATGCTTCCCTCCAGCGAGGCCACAAAAGAGCTCCTGAGGAGTGCGATGGTGAGCCAGGCCTCTTCCATCGCAAGCACTTGAGCAGGGAAGTCTATGCATGAGAGATAGATGCACCAGCTCTTCCTGGAGGTTCGGGCTGCAAGGACATTGCCTGGGATTACCTCGTCTGAGTAGATCGCGAATCGGAGTGCTCTTCCGCCGGCTTTCTCTGCACAGCTCCGAAGCAAATCGTAGAAAGCACCACCGGCACGGCAAATCCCATCCAGCAAGCTGAAAACATTCACCAGCCAAAAAGCCACCGTGCCACCAGACACTGTCTTGGCTTCCTGCTTCTCCAAGAGAGGCCCGTAAGCTTCTGTCTTGCCCAAGTACGACCTTGTCGCTTCTCTCATCTGCTTCGGGTCTGTCATCTCTGGCATGCCATGATCATGAATATCCTGCAAGAGGCCATGCAGAGCACTCTTACTACAGTAAGGTGCTGCTCTTCTCAAAGAGTTCAACCGTTGCAGCTTCTGTGGCCGGTCGTCTGTCTTCGAAGAAGAGGAAGACATTATTGCTCAGGTAGAATCAATCGAATTTGGATGCAAGCAGACTATATGCAGAATGCATCTGCACATCTATAGATGCATGCAAAACTCAGCTACATCAACATAAAACTACAAAGTAACAAAAAAATAAACATTTTCCAACCCTGCAACTTCAAACCCCAATATAGATGTAGCTGTATACACACCTATACACACCGCCAGAATGTACATCGGAAGGAACTGTCGACGAGAAAATTCTGCGACCCGTATGGGTGCCAACTGCAAGACTTGGCTATTGAGCCTTACACAGTCCATGCATATGCATGGAGCTTCAACTCAACACCGGGTTTTGCTTCTGCCGTTTAAACACAAATGCCACAGCACAAAACCCGGGAACCGCCAAACAGAATGACGGTTGCATGTCTGTCTATAGAGCAAAACATATAACAAAGCATCCAGGCCACACCGTGGACTGGGAAGGTAGCTCCAAATGTGAAAACACACGGAGCTGTGGGCCCTAAGCGCCATTTCCGAGGCAATGTCTAAGAAGCACAAGGAAAGCAAAGCAAGGAACAATTCATATAGAACCCAGACCGAATCAGCATGGCATGCCTGCATAAGCCCTGTCATGCAGAGCTGCATGGAGCTATCTGGCCATGCAAACATGAAGCCCGGCTGGGCTGGAATGACTTTTTGTGCTGCTGCTCGCTTGCCCGCTTCGAATGAAGCAGGATGCCATGGAACACGGTTGCAGTGATTAATGCACCGGGCAGCTTTTGCTGTACGAAGCAGCTTTTGCTGCAGTGCGAAGCTATATATAGCTACCCACCCATTGAAAACACCAAGGCTAACTCGGTCACTTCTTGCTCTTGGACTTCTTGTTGCAGGCTTTGCCCTTTGCGAGGGCAAGCTGCCGTTTGGCATACCACTCCTTCCATTCCTCCCTCGTCAGGCGGAGTCCCTTGAACCCCGGATCCTGACACTGCGAACATCCTGTTCGACAGCCGCGGCAGCGAATACAACCAAGTTTTAGCGGCGGGTCTGCACTGGCTTTCCCAACCGGCTTGGCTGCACTGGCTTTGGCCGAAGGCCTCTTCATGACTGCTTTGCCCTGATCTGGAGCCCCTCGCTTCTTATTTTCTACCGGCTTGCTTTGGGCCTGCAAAGCCTTGAAAGCCTCTTGCTCGATCGCCTCGAGCTTGCTGCTGCTTGCAGGTGTTGTCACGGCGGTTTCCTTCACATGCTCTTGGGGCTGGGGCTGCTCTGGGGGATCCTTTTCCTCCACAGGCACTACCTGAGTCAGGCTAGGAGGGGGAGCCACGGAAAAAGGAGTCTGCAGCATGGAGTCTCTGGTGCATTGCTGGGCTGGCACTCTAGGGGACGAGGAGGTCTGGGCGGCATGCTGGGGCGAGGCAATGTTCTGCAAAGCCTGCAGACTGCTTGAAGCAGCCAGGCTGCTGGGCACAGTGCCTTTGCTTTGCATTTGCTTGCACACCTTGCATACCGGATGCTATGGGGCATGGCTCCTGCAAAGCTCCCAAGCTGCCATTCCTTGCCGGCTGCACTGCATTGAAATTGTTCATGCCCGTGCCGCCGACCGTCTGCTGCAAGAACCTGTGCATGAGGGCTTGCATATGCAAGGCATCGTCGCCAGCAGCATCCTTGCCCTTCTTCTTGTTCTTCTTCTCTTGATTCCACGACAACAAACTGGACGTGCTTCGCACCGGTGTCTCATTCACCACCCGGGCTACAAGACCTGGGAGGTCTCTCGGCTCCGGTGGGTCCTCTGGATCATAAGCATCCTTCATGAAGCCCGGTCCGAGCTCTGATGGGTGCAAAGGATAGCATGTCACTCCTGCTGCTTTTCGTGGAACTTGCACACTGAGGAAGACTTTGTGCAATTGCTCTGCGAGTCTGTAGATGTCGTCGTACGATGGAGCAATGCCGAGTCTTTCTATCTGACAAGTGACGATGATGCCGGTTGCATACTTTTTCGTCTCTTCTTTGAGACTCGTGAGCCCGAGCCTCCGGAGCCTCTCGCTGACGACCACTGTAGCGTCCCAGCTGCTCGAAGTAGACAACTTCGCCCAATCTGACTTGGAGAGGTAGTTGCAGAGTTGCACGAGGGTCTGGGGTTTGCTAGTGAGTCGTACCTGGGACTGACCAGCGATTGTGGGGCCTGCAGCATCATCCAAGGCTTTGAGCAAGCCATCTTTGCTGTTGCCGGACAAGCTAGATTCGCCCACTGCTTCCATCATTTTGCACAGCTGATCCGCCGTCCATCCCGGGTGATGGGCCATGCGATCTTGCAGTGCCTGCACGAGCTTAGGCTCCATGTCGGTGCCGGGCCTCATGCCCACCAGCCTTTGGATGGAGTTCATCTCCTGCACGAAGTCATCGGCGGTCCACCGAGCCATGGTCTCTGACTGGTCTCTGGACCCGGCAGAGCACCACAAGTGAAACAGAAGTCGCCTAAAGCAACAATGGCGACAAGTGTTCATGCTAGGAAAGCACGGAAAGTCGTGCATGGTTGTCAGGAAGCAGGATCACTGCTGCATGTAAACAACGAAAAGCTTTATCTGCAACTGCAAACAAAACTACATAGAAGCACAAAGCTGCATGGTTTTTCAAGAAGCAGGATCACTGCTGCGTGGTTTTCAAGAAGCAGGGACACTGCTGCATGGACCAGACAATAACTTGCATGTGCACAGCAACAAGAGAGAAGCACACATGATTAGTGCTGCATCACCAAAAACAGAACCTGCACACCAGGCACCTTTAAAAAACCTGGCCTTGTCCCATGGAGGGGTGTGGGGAGGGCGGGGGGGGGACAGCTGAGTGGAGGGCGACGGGGGGAGAGGTCCGGCGATTGGGGTTTGGGTTGGTGGTGTGGGGTCGACCTTGGTGCTTGTGCTTTTGTCCGACTGAGTATGGGGGTGCCAAGCATGTCATGCTTCACAACCAAAGCACAAGCAGAACTTGTGCTGCATGGGAAAAGCACATCATGCATCACAACCAAAGCGCAAGCAAAACTTGTGCTGCATGGGAAAAGCACATCAAAGAGTGCTGCATGCATTGTTCCAGGACAAGGGGAAAGGCTTCTTGTGGGAGCTCGGGCAAGAACTGAAACTATGCTGTTGGGTGGAGGAGAATGCAGCTTCAAAGGTGCAATGGCTGATCCCGTGAAGGCTTTCTAAAGGGCTTGGCAAGGGCTGCTTCCAAACAATGTTTACGATACCACCGAAACACACAAGTTGCTCATGAACAACTTTGTTTCCAAACCCCTGAAACCAAGATGCTTATGAACAACTGTGATCCCATAAGTCTGATTCAGAGATGCTCCAGAGCAACTGTCCGGGATAGGGTTTATATAAATTATAAGGGTGGGATCCCCAAGATGTCTATGAGCAACTCTGAAATTAAAGTCTATTCCCAAAGATGCTCATGAGCAACTTGTTGCACCCCTCGCAAAGCTGTCTTTTTTGCTCTGGCCGCCTAATAATCATACTGAGGGTCAGCACCAAACTGGTCCACATACCGCATGTGCTCCTCCAGGCGGCTCCGGAACGTCGGGTCCCCTCTGAATGCACTCGTGAGGTGGTCCATGCGGCCGAAGTCCTTCGAGAGCCAAGCCGCCGTCATGGCAATGGCTCTCGCCTGCCAGCCGCTCTGAAGCTTTGTGCTCCGTCTCGAGTCCATCCAGGGCCTTGGCAGGGCACTGCTCGAGGATGTCGCCGCCTGACCCTGCTCCCTCATAGCTGGTGCTGGAGGAGGTCTGTTAACCCCAGCTTCCTGAACTCGTCCTCGGCAGCCACGGCCTCTGCCTTTCTCTTTTTTGGCGGTGGGCCCTTCCACAGCGGTGCTTGCATCGCCTCCACAGGCTCTAAGACAGGAGCCGGGCGGTCGAAAAAACCTCTGTCTTCCCTCCTGCATCCTCCTGCTTCATCTCGCGGCCAGGCCCCTGACTCTCTGGACCGCCCACAAAGCCAGGACCCATTTGCACAGCAATCGGAATAACACCAGCTGGTGTGCCCATCCTCTGCATGCCAGCTGCACCTGCTGTGCCCATTGCCTGCAAGCCAGCTGCACCTGCTGTGCCCATTGTCTGCAAGCCAGCACCTGTTGTGGCCATCGTCTGCAAGCCAGCACCTGCGGGAGAGCCCAAGGGAAGCCATAGCCAGCAAACTCAGGCATAACCATGCCAGCCACCAACGGTGCACATACCGGTGCCACCGGTGCCACCGGTGCCGCCGCCATCCCAGGTGCAGGTGGAAACGGCGCTTTTGAAGCCGTTGCCATTGCTGCCTCAGACTTAAGGGTTCGTGCAGGGTCGGTTTCTGTTGTGCTTTACTACATAACAGAAAAGCTTTCAACTTCTGCTACACCAAACAAGAGTCTGGGCCCACTCCTGCCCACACAGGATCCTCCACACCCAGGGGAGCATTGGCAGTCTCCGCCGCCTGCTTCTCCTTGGGCTGCTCTGATCCTGCAGGGCTCCATGCAGCAAAGGCTGCTCTTCAAGTAACGCACAAAAGCCCTGCCACAAAGCAGGACTGCATGAAACGAATCCAAAGCCCCAGCAACCTCGAACCCCATGTAAGCCCAGTCCTCCTTGCGTTGCCTTGTCATCAAACTCGTGAGGGTACGTGGCAGCAGCCCTTTCCCACCACTCTTGGTCCTGCTCGGACAAGGTAGCAACCCAGGATCGCCACTCGGCCTTGCTCCATCCTCGCGCCTGCTCGCGGACCCATGCGAGCTCGCCGTCCGTCAAGTCAAGCGGCTCATAGTACTTGACCTCCACATCCTCTTCCTCCTCCTCCTCTTCCTTCTTTGTCGACGGCTCAGTTGCCATGATCGCGAGGCACGAGTGGCTCCAAACCTATTTAAATGGT